AGCTATTGGACTTGTGGTTTTTAACAAGAAGTTGAAAATATCACTTTTTACCAAAAATGACAAAAATATTCACCAAAATTAGAGAATTAAAGGTATCATTACAAAATGAACAAATCTGAGAGAGATCCACGTGTAGTACCTATATACCGGTATGTAGTATACAAGCAATTGGACTTGCGGTTTTCAACAAGATGTTGAAAATATCACTTTTTACCAAAAATAACAAAAATATTCACCAAAATTAGAGAATTGAAGATATTATCATGAAATGAACAAATCTGAGAGAGGTCTACCCAAGGTACATATACAGCAAGTATCAAAGCATTCAAGAAGAAGTCGAAAAAGTAAAACATTGACACGGACGACGACGCCGGACGGCGACGACGGCGACAGACAATCACTCATATGATAAGCTCCGCTCGACAAAGTCGACAGCGGAGCTAAAAAGCAAAAAGGCAACGATTTTCAAGATGAAGTCATAAAAGTAATGTATTCCATGACAAATAATCATCAAAATAAATAGCTCCACACTGTCAAAAAAAAAAATATTTCTATGGCAAAGAAAAATATGTACAAGATCAAATATAGCTGACCCATAAACCTTACACATGATGAAGGCCTCTTCCATTCCCATTGTTTGACGTTGCACAGCCCTTTCATGCTTAGATACATCTTTGTATATTTTGCTACTAAAAGGTTCAATTATGAACTTGGTCAGATCTCCATATCTCTGAATTTTGGCTTCATATTCATCATCTAATGGTGAAAATTCACCCCGATATCTGACTTGTCCTTTCCCCCACGATCTTGCATGCTTGCATTGACCAAATTCAGTTTCCAGCAACTCTTGTTTGTGGACTAGCAAAATAGAGAAAATATTATCATTGTTAATATCTATTATTATACATCTGTCACCGTAACAAAATGAGTTGCAGCGTGCCATAATTTTGCCGTATTTTATGGGGTATTTTCATCCTAGCATATTAGGAAATGTGAATTCCAAATAAAGATTGATTATGCGCGTAAGCGTCCTCTAATAATAAAAACAAACATGGCTGCCACCAGTTTGATCGAACGGACTCCACACAAAGAAGTTCGCTGATTCTGTTCTAAACTTTTTAGATTTCGGCATTCCTATGGTGTATCTTTGGAAGGAAAAGATAATAACAATAAGGTTATTACGAGGATACCGCAAAGTATGCACTCCGCTGCGCGTCGGTCGATACTGTTGCTGTACTGTCTTCGTGCATACTTTGAGGTATTCTCGTAATAACCTTATAGTATTACATGATTGTTGAAAAGTGGAAATAACACACACAATAGTAGAAATTTACAAATCCAAGAAGACAAACTAATTTACAGTGCACTAGCCAATAATTACAGCAAGTCTCGGAAGTATTGGGGCAGTCAATTTGCAAACTCGCTAGCAAATTGGCTAACTGCTTTGGTTTTGACTAAACGGTTGGCTTTCTAATTTCCCTGGCGCCGTCTCGTAGTCACACCCACTCTGGGCAAATATATATATAACAGCAGGAGCTAATCAGCGATGACAGTCTTACAGTTGAATATTTCTTTCGCTTTCAAATATACCAGGAAAAGTGTTCTATGTTCTTCGTGTAATGAGGTGTTCATATACAAGTGATTGTCCATGCAAAAACGACAAATGAGATCAAATTTTTTAGCGGTTGGCTGAATGTTACCCCAACGGAACGTTTGGATGTGAAAGTTTGTTGTTTTCTGATTTGTAGGAAACTGTTTCTCAACTTGTCTCTTTATTTAGTTTCAAGCAGTGTTCAAGATGGTTACTCCCATATAGTAAATATCGATGGGTTAATCGCATTTATCATATTATCACTTTACGCCAGCTGACTGTAGTCATTCTCAGGCTGAACAGGGAAACTACTTTACACACATGGCATAACAAAGCAAATCATTCAGGGGAATCCAGACATGTACCAGCCTACGTAATAATAACATTCTATGTCCCCTAATGCAATATAGACTTGCCCAGAGTGGATGCTACCACATGTCGCCGCCAGCGAGATTTAAAACCCAACTGTCAAAACACAATCAGTTAGCCAATTCGCTAGCGACTTTGCAAATTGGCTGCCTCAATTACTTCTGAGACTTGCTGTAAGTCATGTTACACTTGAATTACAGACATAAAATTAACATAAATTACAATATGCAACACATGATTTGACATTGAAGGCAGATTGATGCATTATAATTACCTACCACACCACACTCACTGCCCCCCCCCTAAAAAGGCAGCTCAAAGTAGTATGTAGTTTAAAGGTCGGTTGTCTTTGTTCTTTGTGTGTTCAAATTTCATGTAAACAGACAATGTATTTTACTTGCATTGTGTTCATCTCTATGAGTCCAATATCAAACAGGACGCCACGAAACCACAACTGCCTTTTAACGCTGTCACATGGTGACTACGGTAGTTGAAATAATTGAGTCAAACCTTGGACAACATATAAACACTATGTTGATTGTATATTACACACATAGAAAGCCATGCATGTAAAGTCTTGGTTCAAAACAAACCTTCCTAATACATGAACAGAATATAAAAAAAAATAACTAGCACTCACTACAGTCTGACCATGGTTTTCTCGGGATAGGTTCATACGAATACATGGAACATGAACAATCCAGGATTTGTGTATCCTGAAAATAAACATAGTGAATAAATTGTAACCTACATTTTCATACTACTGGTACCAATTTTTTATTTGATGAAAAATGCAAAAGATATTGAAATTGTGTTAGATTAAACAAAAAAAAAGTAAAATTAAACATTTGTATGTTATCGTAATAACCTGTGTCAAAAATTTTGTGAATATTCACTTACCGGTAGTTTTAATTTCATGAATTTGGCAGCGAAACAATGTTTTCTATTATTGTTTCACATAATCATTTGGATTTAATTTATCAGTGAAAATAGCGAAATTAAAATTCAGTGTCAAATAATTAATACATTCACAGTATTCCAGTTGAGTTGTGAATCATCCCTTTGGTTACACTTTCACTATATATAAACAGTCAGATTCTTTTCAAGCATGGCAGCAAGCACATGTACTGCTTGGCTGGTTCCCGCCTCAAGTGTCATGGCGTACCAAGCCACAAGAGGCCGGTAACTAGTAACGGTTCCGGCATTCTGATTGGTCCGTCACTTTTTCGATGCTTGTTCTATTTCTCTTGGTTACCTGACGTCAGTGCTTACGCGCTTATAAAACTGTTTCTTTTGTTATAAATTTGCACAGAAACAGCGAGAACTGCCAGAAACATATCAAATGTGTAAATCTAAGCAGGCATAATGTATTGTTATGGTGTAATGAAAACTTGTTTACAGAAAACAAATGTTATAATGTTTTCAAATCACGTCACACAGTCATGTGCCTTTGGGCCAGAATCCCAGCCCAGTGCAACAATATGGTGATTATTAGTTACCTGCGTCCAACTTGTCATTCGCAAGGGACGTTGGGAACCAACGAAATGTACAGCGAGATGGGGGAGTATAGTATTTCCTTGTCTCCAACAAATGTATAGAAGATTGGAAAATGAAGATTTTCAAATCATTTGACTTTGAGAAATTTGTGACATCACTGAGCATTGTACAAAGGTGAACGATTTTGACAGTGATTGTGATTATAACATTACCCAGATAGATCATCACAGGAAACACTATAAATCAGTAAGCGATAATTTATACTGCAAACTAAAACCAATTAATTCCATCATAATCAGACATGACAATTCAAAATAAAAATATTTCAAAGAACCAAAGAAAACCACTAGATCAAAAGAGAGTGAACAGTACATGTACTTATCATACTGTTGACAATCAAATGGAAGTGCCTTTTTAATGAATGTGTATCAACTAAGCAATGCAGCTTTATCAACAGATATTCTGAACTGAAACAGGAATTGTTTGGAGCAGATTCGCGAATTGTCAGATTTGAAAAAAAGTTATGTTATGACATGACAGAGTGTCTGTTGTTCAAAATAAACAACATTAAATCTGAGAAACAAAATGACATGCATCAAGGACCCATACTGTTCAATGATTGTACCAAGTTTGAACAAAATCCATTCATACACGACCCAGATCTGGCTCCAGAATAGCAGACATGCTTCAGCTTGATTTGCAACAGTATTAAAAATGGCCCCCACTTGGCCATCTTGAAATTGAATTGTCCAATTAATACATGTGCATATGTGTTGACATGGTGTGTATATACTGTAGAATACGTTATTTTCGCTTGGAATTTACTTTCGCTGAATAGATGCTTCCGTGAAAATAAAATCTAGCAAATATACTTTTTTCCTGTCTCACATTCGACTCGTCAAAAATCAGTGAAAATAAATTCCATACAAAACACCCAAAAAGCTTTTTCAGCGAAAATTAATTCCCGCTAAAATAAAGTATTTCAAAGAATATAAAACATCCCCAAGTAGATAGCTGCATCTATCAATACAAATCGTAACTCAAATATTAGCCCTCAGCAGACTTCATTAAATATTCATTAAATATAAGTAGGAAAATCATTATGCATGGAATTTACCTAAACTTAATCAAATCACACAAGACACACATACAGACATATCAAAGCTTAGTCCCATTAGGTTTATGTAAGGTCTTGACTTACATAATTGGAGCCCTGTGTACGTTGAATTTGTTGGTCAAATATAGGAACAGATTTGAACGTTCTTCTATGAGTTTCATTCATCAAAACTGAAAAATACAAAAAAAAAATCATCAATATACTACAGAAGCAATTCACGCTGACAATTTGTTCTTTACATTTTTTAAAGTAGAATCTACACACAAGTAAAATTACTGTCGTTTTCTTTTTTCTATTTTAACATATTTAATATATCATGTAACAAGATCAAAAAAAATTAAAAATTAATAAAAAAATATGGAGTCATCGTGAAAAATC